CGCCACACTGCTCCCCACTGACACCTAACAGACCCTACAGACGCCACACTGCTCCCCACTGACACCTAACAGACCCTACAGACGCCACACTGCTCTCTCCTGACATGGAACTGGACTCTATGAGGTAATGCTTTTTTTCCCTTCGTTTGGCTTGCAAATTCAAGATGGAACAAATCGCAGCCTGGCTGTGCAGGTCAGACTGCCTGCCTGCTCGCGCCGGGAGGGGCTGGGCTGTCCTCCTCCTCGCCTGGACGGGTTCTGCTCTCCGAGGAGATTCAATCTGTGCAGTACAGCCAGGAGCTGCAGGGAAGAGGAGAGCACGGGATATGTTGGGAATTCTCGGCGCATCCCACTGCTGCTTGAGCACAGGAGGGTATTGATCACTGTCGGTGAAAACTCTGGGACAAGCAGGAGCACCAAGGAGGGGCATGGAAGCAGAGCCTGTTGTTCATGGGATCACGAGTGAGATGATTTGAAATACAATTTTACTGTAATGGATGTAATGGAACTTAAGGTGAAAGCCTGTGCTGGCCCTCAACTATAGTACAAATAAACAAGAATTAGACAAATGAAGCTAAAGATAATTTCTTCCGCTACAGACTCAGGAACTGCACAAGTGTGCTTGAAACACCTGCAATATTACAGACACCACATCAAGGCAATGAGCCGCCGATCTCCTCGCTGCTCTGAGGTCCCGGTTGAGAACTGAACACTGGTGTTAAAAAGCAGAGAAGGGAGCACTCTGCCTGACAGAAGGAGGGTTCAGGCCCAGGTCTGGTCCAAAAGGAAATTCCTGTCACACAAACATGGAGACTGTCTACATCTGTCCCACTGACACCCTGCTCCTCGAGCCCTTCTCCGGCACAGGTCCAGGATGCCCGGAAACACCCACATACCGGTAGTCCCAGCAGGGTCAAGCTGGATAATTTCGCGCCAGAGTGACACTATCTCCACTCCCTGTGCGGCCTGTGTGCAGGGGGCCACGCTGCCCTGCCTCTGCTTGGTCATGTACGTCGTAAAAATGAAGACTTCCTTGCAGAGAGATAAGAATCAGCCCAGCAGGCTCTGCTATTCATTTCACGGTACCTCCATTCAGCACTGCCGGAGTAAATGGAGAAAGTCTTCCTATTTCTCAGATGAATTCGCAGCTGAGGGAGGGGACTGGACACAGCGCTCACTCGCAGCTGAGGGAGGGGACTGGACACAGCGCTCACTCGCAGCTGAGGGACTGGACACAGCGCTCACTCGCAGCTGAGGGACTGGACACAGCGCTCACTCGCAGCAGAGGGGGGGGACTGGACATTTGTCATTGATCTTTGTACAGTATGTTCACTGCACAAGTGTCTGTTTCTGCCTGATTGAGAAACACACTCCCCCCCGGATAGCCAGACACTAACAGGCCCAGCAGCACCTTTTTACACTTAACTGATTAATAAAGATAAGTAAAATGGCGACTTAAACTCAGCAACTGCCTCCATGCCTCCTCACTTGTCCCAGAGGACTGCAGCCATTTAAGGTTAATCCCCCAGACAGGGATAAATTGGCCCCCCCTGTCCCCCAGGCCGAGCAGGCTGAGAGAGACCCAACACTGGAAGTAGGGTCTCTCCTCGTTGCCATCAGTGCACAAATAACACAGTTTAATTAAGGAGACTGTAATTTAAAAAAGGCATCCAACCCCACTTCATCTGTGTTGTCAAACAGCCGAGCAGTCTTTTCTTAAAGCTAAGAACACAAACTTTCCAGTGCCGAAGTATGGTCAATCCCAGCCTTAAAATACCTAATTTGTTTGCCCCTGGCAGTAACATTTCAGGATTACTAACTACAATGTGGACAACATACACACTCTCTCCCAGATCCACCTCCCTGGTCAGTGCGACCGCCTGTGGCCTGTAGCTGAGCTAAGCTGTGCACAGTCACCATGTTGTGTTACACAAGCAGGACTGGTACCTGCTCCCACTGGTGGCCACAATCACAGTGCTGTGTTACACAGGCAGGGCTGGAATCTGCACCCACTGCTGTATTACACAAGAGAGCAGGCAGGGCTACAGGTAAGAGTTCATTTCACCTACATGCCAGAGTAGCTGTCTGGTCTTCCTGCTGCTTTGTGAATGATCCCTCATGTCTCTGTGCCACTGGCAGGGCTGGGCAGGCTGCTCAGCTCTCAGAACACGAAAGGTCCCCTACTTTCTTTCCAGAGTAGGCTGGGTTCTGTCATTATGTACTGCACACCCCTGTAATCTACAGTTTTTGGATCAAGAACGTAGGTTGTAGGTACTGACATGAGAACCCCTTTATTTCTGGCTGGCTTTGGTTAAGTAATATTATCTTTCTGAACAGAGGAAACTCGGTCAGCTCTGGGTATCCCCCACACCTGGCGGGCACAGACCACTCAGCTCAGCAAAACAACTAGCCCAGGTCTGGTCCAAAAGAAAATTCCTGTCACACAAGCATGGAGACTGTCTGTGCTCTACTGACACTCCCACTGACACCCTGCACCTCGAGCCTTTCTCTGTCAGAGGCTGGGAAACACCCACACAGCAGTAGTCCCAGCAGTTTCAAGCTGGATAATTTCGCGCCAGAGCGACACCATCAGACTCCACTCCCTGTACGGCGCAGCAAACAACTCTCTGAAAAGACCGGCTGTACCATACAAACCCAGGAAGGAGGAAAACGCTTTGATTTCCATTGCCACGTACCTGAGCCTTTGCACGAGCTCAGAAAACAGTAAAGAAAATGCCTGAAATATTATCTCTGGAAAAATGAAAGGAATGTTGTGGGATGAGGCTGTGTTCTGGGCACTTGTAGCTTCAAGACCACCAATATGCCGAATTCCATGATGCTGAGTCAGGTCAGACAGACAGTAGGTGTTTTAAAGTTACAGCACATGTTTCAGAGGATGCACACACACACACAACATGTGCCACAGCCTTGGCAACACTGCAACAAGGAGGAACAGACCAGGCTGAACACTAGAACCCAGGTGTACAGGTCTACAGCTGTGCAGGCTGAGCAGAGCACACACTGGAAAATTTGAAATGCCAACTCTGCTGGCAAAAGACAGAAGCAAGCAATCTGGACTTCTAGCTTCCAAAGAATATTCTGCTCGTGCATCCTGAAAAATGATTTCATGCCCTGATAAGAAATAACTTCAGATGCAGAGAGTGCATAGCGACAGCAAGAAAATTCACACTTCACTCCTATTCACAGAAATGAAGACAGATCTCGTGTCAGTGCTGGATTCTCAAGCACATCTCCAGCTTCCATTAACAAAAATATAAATGATTTCACAGATATTCTCATGGACTTGCCAAGTAAAGGTCACATCACAATTTGTCAGGGGCGTAGCACCAATTAGCACCAAGCCCTTCAGAGAGGCTGTTTTTGAGAGTAACGTGGTCCCCAGCCACCACACCCTGTTTTCACAGCACAGAGCAGCTCTGGGGAACAGTCAAGGACTCAGCTCCCTCATGGAGGAACGAGAGCACACAGCTGATAAACGCCACACAAGAAAAGAACAGATCCTTCGGTAAGATGAAGAATCTGCGTCTACAATACTTAGTCTGCTTATCGGCTTAAGGAGACGAGTGAATAGAAAGTGGATTACAGTCAGACCAGGCAAGGGGTTTCGCAGGACAGTGCAGATCCATGCCACAGTACAGGAACCCATATTCAAACTCTGAGACAGGATAGACCTCTGTGACCACATGGGCTTATGGAAACACAAATTCACAGCCACCCCGGTCAGCAGACAGGTTAATGCATCAGATTAAACCACATTAACAACCTGCCCCCTCCAGTCCTGGACTGCGCCCAGCTCTCCCCCCTGCTGACCCCCAAGCTAACAGCGCCTCGCACCCGGCTGGTGCCTGACCCATGCAGGGGTATGGCCATGGAGCCCCTACACTAAGCTGCAGCTTTGGGACTCCTCCCTGTAGCTCAGAAAGACAGGACAGGTGGCCCTGGAGCACACCCTGATCCTCGTCCAGCTGTTGGGAAAGACAGGACAGGCGGCCCTGGAGCACAGTGATCCTCGTCCAGCTGTTCGGAAAGACAGGACAGGCAACACTGGATCAGCCTGATCCTCGTCCAGCTGTTGGGAAAGACAGGACAGGCAACACTGGATCAGCCTGATCCTCGTCCAGCTGTTGGGAAAGACAGGACAGG